AAGGGGGAAAAATAAGACCCAAGAGAGATTATGTAAAGGTGTAAATTTCCAATGATGAATGTCATTATATTGTATACCTAAAATTTACCAATAAAATAAAAATTTTAAAAAATAAATAAAAGATAAAAAATCTCCACACGTTCTCATTCTTACATTTGAATGAACAACCATGTATTGGAAGACATTGGAAGGCACTTCATGAATGCGTGGAGGATGAACATAACCGATACTGCAGGTAATTTACTAAGATATTCTTTTAAATAGAGGAGAGTGCAAATTATTATCTTCAGATCAATGAAAAGAAATCGTACCTATAAAAGAATAATTAGCTATATAAGGGGACAGAAAACAAAGTATGATGGCCGAAATAAAGGATGTCTTAGAAAATTGTCAGAACAAGAATTGAGCCCAGTTTCTTGTAAAGCAATAGGCAAATTCTAATGTTTAGCATTTCACCCTACTTCATCTAATTGCAAAATAGAGAAAAAGATAAACCAAAAGTACTCTGTTTTTGAGTAATGCTCATACCTTTGCAAGAAACCACCAAAATGCAAGATGCCCTGAAACCATTGTGGCAAAATACTTTCTTGAACCTGTGCAAGACAGGCCTCTCAACTTCAAAGGGAAAAATATTAGGTTGCAGAGTAATTAGAAGCTGTTGCTGCCTATATAAAAGGAAAAACTTGCAGTATGAGTAAGCAAATAGGAGTAATGTACCAAATGGATTTAAACTTTAGGAGGTGGCCTTGTACTTCTGCAAGGATTCCTCCCAAGAGCTGGCTACAAGTCTGCTGGAAGCTGAGGAGCGTTGTGCCTGGACAGAGCACTCTGCCCTCGGGGGATATCCTGACCATTAACCAGGAGTAGTTCTCTGATTTAATAATTTTGAATTATACTTACCGTCATTTGCTAGTAGTAGCATTTGGGATCAGGATCTTGCTTTTTTGATGTTAGATCTTTCAGATTTTACACTGAATTAGAAGTTTTTCAAAGTAATAAAATGAAAAATAAATGGAGTAAAGACCATCAAAGAAGTAATAAAATAGAATTTCTCAGAGCTGCAAGGACACATGACTCATCAGACTCAAATGGCCCATAGGAAACCGAGGAGAATGAATAAGAAAAGCCCATTCCTGAACAAAGCTCCATCATATTTCAGACCCAAGCACCTAAACAACAACAACAACAAAAATACTATAACATTCTAGAGAGAAATGGCAGGGCATCTATAAAATAATGACAATTAGATGATATTCATACCCTGGAATTCTTATAATATGTTGGGCATGTCTTCAATGTTTTCAGGAGAAATGATTTTGTACCTAGGGTCCTATAGTTTAGCTGAACTACCAAGCAAGTATGAGGGCAGATGAAGACATTTCAGGCATTCCCAGATCAAAGTTCCCACCTCCACACACCCTTTCTGAGGAAGCTTTTTGAGGAGCGTGACAGTGAAAGATGTGAAGGAATACACACACAAATATGTATTTAAAAATTCTCAAATGAGAAGTATTTGGGAGGTGATGGATCTGAATTAGAATAAGAAGCTGGTAGGATCTAAGAAAAATGTCTTCAAAGAGAAGAAGCGAGTAAACTCTAAATTAGGTTGGAGAGGAAAAATAAGGAATTAGAAACCACAGAGGAAGAAACCCAAAAGTTGCACCCATTAGTGAAGTTTCTCGAGTCAAATAACATGAGCCATAATTATAAAGTGACTCATGGGTTGTAAAGAAAGAACTCACTTGACATGGACCTTAGAGATATTCTTTGAGTGAGTAAGGGTCAACACAATGGACCAATAGAGGATAACATGTAATCCCAGAACATTTGGGCCTTTAGTGAATGAAAGCTATGTAGAATACATAGAAGACTTAACTATGGTTATCAATAAAGATATTGCAAAAGTGGGACAAATTACAGAACTCTGAAGGAGAAGGGTAGTGGATTGGTGCTGGGTAGGTTAGGGATGCCAACAGCCTTACAAGTCAAGAGACATGGTAACGTTGAGGGAACAAAAATTTTAGGTTTCATTCTATAAATAATATTTCAGCCAATAAATAAAACTCATAAATAATATAATAAAATAATTCAATTACTATGGGCCAACATGGGGGGAATAGAGTTGCCTGCACAGAGGCATGAGGGAACTTTAGGGGGTGATGGAGATTTTTTTTATCCATCTTAATTTTGCTGGTGGTTACATGACTATTCAAGTTTGTCAAAATTACCAGAACTGTACCCCAAGAAAGGGCAAATTTCACTGCATGTAAATCATCACTCAATAAGCCCAGGAAGGGGAAGAGAAGACAGAAGGCACACTAAATCCTCAGCTTTCATATTGGGGGTTAAAAGGAAATGTGAGAAGTTAATAAATCAATGAGTAGCAAGATAAGCATACAGATATCAAGGGAAATTACTAAATAGCTAAAAGTTTCATCTTGGAAGTAGTACTGGAGAAACAGACTACTATTTAGCTTTATAATTTTACTATCTATGTATTTTATTTATCAATTGGCAGCAATATTTTCCAAATTCTGGAACATTTTAAAAACACACAAGATTTTCCAGGAAGGACAAGGAACTTCCTTATATGTTTTGCCCAAAATGTCTTTTGTAGAAAAGGATCCAATCCAGGATCACTCAGTTCCTACTCTCTTGAGCCTCCTTCAGTCTGGAACAGTTCTTCCATCCATTTTTGACTTTCATGATCTCAGTATTTGTGACGATTATAGGCCTGTCCTTTCATTTTGATCTTTAATTTGGTTTGCCTGATGTTTCCTTTTGATTAGTCCCAGTTTGGTAGTTTGGCCCTAATATGATTGACAGTGTGCTGTATTCTCACTGTATCCTACTGAGGTGGTTCAAGAGGTTGATTTGGCCTGTTGCTTACTAAGATAACAGGCACTAGGCTTCTTCATTTCAAAGTGAGACTTCTCCACTTTATAAGTGATAAATATTTTGAGGGAAGATATTTTAAGACAACACAATATCCTTTCCCACACCCCACTTTCATTCATTACTTTATGATCCACTAATGCTTTTTACCTGAATTGGTTATTACTGTGATGATTGTCAAGTGATACATGCTAATTAAGTGGGTTCATGGATTCCTATTTATCCTATGGAGTATAATTTATTAGTAGCATAACTTATTTTGGTTCTCAACTTGTTCTGAATTTAGTCAGTGGGAGTCCCTCAGCTGGCTTCTGTGTCATTTTAACATGTCCCCATTTCTCTTTAAGTACTTCCTTACTTTCTGGGATAAAAGGAAGACTCATAGTTCTTTCCCTGCCTCAGTCCTAGAATCATCCAGTTCCTTTTAATGAAGAGTAGTAGTTTGAAACCAAGCTTTGGCTGGCTGGTTTGCTCCTTGATGTTAGGGTCTCAAATCTTTCAGCCCTTTTGGTGGACATAGCAAAGAAATGAATTTATGTATGTACATATGAATGCATTTACACATATATTTTTCTGTATCTATGTAAACATATTAACAACTATGAGTTTATATTGATAATTCTAATTCCATCTCAGTATTAAAGCTTTATTCTCAGCCATCCTCCTTTCCATATTTGTTTCTTCCTCCTTCAGGAGTGGAAAATATCATCTTCCACCATCCTCAATATATTTACTTTTCTGCTTAATTCTTCTGAATGTGTCCAATTTTCTGATTCCATTAGACTGCTACCCTATTTGTATACCTTCCTTATGACTTTTAATCTCTATCAGACAGACTGCTTTCCCAACCCACTTAACATGCATTATTTTGATAAAATCTTAAAAAAAAATTAGTAGCCAGGTACTAGGAAACAAACAAAAAATACCATTGTGAGTTTGGTCACAGTAATCATCTTACTGCTCTAAGCACCAAGGGGAAATCCAGATCCATAGTTTCCCTATTCTCCTCTTCTACCACCACAATTTTAAGGTATTTTAAAGTTTGATCTGTCTAGAAGGAAGTGAGATATTCATAGCTTGAATCCTACATCCCTTTCTTGAGACTGTACAATGCCACGTATTGAACACACACACACACACACACACACACACACACACACACACACAACCACTTTATGCTCTTGGGCCTGACAGCCTGAGTTTATCACACAGAAGTCTGTACCTGAAATGTCACAGTAAATGGTCTGATGGTAGATCCTGGCCTCTACAGGGTTAAAGTACACAGTGATTTCAGCTGATGAGTTGGGCCAAACATCACCTTCCTGAAAAACATGAATCATTAAAAAACAATATGATGAAAGGAACCCACTGCTTTTAAATGATGCTGTTATAAAATGATGTTGTTCAATGATATTGCTATATTCCATGAACATCTTCCTGAAAATTGTTTATATTTAAGGAGTACATACATGATGTTTTGATATACATATGGGTAGTGAAATGATTACTATAGTCGAATGAACATATCCATCTCCTCGCAGTTACCTTTCTGTGTGTATGGTGAACACTCAAGTCTACTTGCTTGCCAAATTCCCACTGCTAATAATTAGGTGTGTAGAACCTTAAAACTCCAGATTTGTACCCATGTCCAATATCTTCCCATTCTTCCCATCCCCTGACTTCTGCTAGCCACCATTCTACTCCTGTTTTGATCAGTTCTGTTTTCTGGATTCCATAGATGAGTGAGATTATGCAATATGCTATTTGTCTGCATCTTGTTTTATGTAATGTCCTTTAGGTTCATCCATGTTGTTGTAAATGTCATTAAACGTCACAAATGACATTTATTAATTTATGACAAATGTCATACATTTTCTTTTTTAATGCTGAATAATATTCCATTGTATGTACATATCACAATTTCTTCATCCATTCATCTGTTCATGGACATTTAGGCTGGTTCCATAGCTTAATTATTTAAATAATACTACAATGAACGTGAAAGTGAATATATCTCTTTGAAATGCTGATTTTATTTCCTTTGGGTATATACCCAAAAGACGGATTGCTGGATCAGAGAGTAGCTCTGTTTTTAATATTTTGAGGAACCTCTATACTATTTTTCATAATGGATGTACCAATTTACATTCCTATCAACAGCATACAAGGGTTCAATTCCAAGAAATCTGAGGGAAAAATATTTATAACAAATACAAAAAAGCACTATTTTACCAAGCAGATAGTAAACTTATACTGCTTGCTAACTTATAAAGTAGTACAAGTTTGGTATAAGCTTCAAAGATAATTTCAGTGAATTTATGAATATTTAATGAGCTACTAAAGGAAACTAGGATGAACAAGGCATTTTAAAAATGTATTCAGCAAACATTTGCTATATATGTGCCGAGCCCCAGGAATTCAGAGAAAGAAAAGCAGGTGGGCCGAGATTACAGGGAGCTCATACATTACCATGATGATAAATATGAATGTAAATATTTTATAATATATCTGACAGGTGCTGTGCCAATAAAGTCCACAGGGACCACAGGGAGAGAAGTATCTCACTTCCTTGGTGGAGGTACTGCCTTTCTAACTTCTGAGGTGACAGCAAAAGGAAAGAAACATTCTTATTCATGGAAAGCAGCAATGGGCCAAGGCAGAATAATAGCCAGATCAAACCCTGCTTCTGACCCAGTGTGATATTTTTCACTTCAATTTAAACCACTCAAAAGTGATAAAGAAGGCAAGTTTTGATACTGTAACATGACAGATCACATACCAGAATTTTCCTGTTAGGTAGAGTTTGATAAAAACTTCTGTACTAACCACATAACCTGGGGCCTCTTCATTAACTTCTCAGAGCTGCAGAAGGAGACGCTAATGGTACCTACTTCTAAGGGTTTCCCAAGGGCTGATAAAGTCATCTAGCCAAATGCTTTGCCTCATGTTTGGTGCAATGTAAAAGCTCCCTACATAACTGTTTGCTATGATCTATGTTGTTTTTATGTCACTTAGAAGGACTCAGTATTTAAGGGGTGTGTGTGTGTTTTCTATGGTTTTGTAAATATGGCCATAAGAGCATAAACAATAAACACATCCAAAAATCCATAAACAGTCCAAACAACTCAAAAGAAAACCAAGACAAGTTGCTAAATAATTAGGTTCAGTTTTAGACAGACTCTAATGCATACTCTATGCAGTCTGGAATGGTTTAAAGGCAGACATCAGACAAGAGGAGGAAACACAAAATTAGAGGTAATTTGGGTTTATCTATGATAAAACCAGTCTGATCAGTGTACTTCTCAGATAGCATCCTTCTTGACTTCAGATTGAGGGAGGACACAGAGGGTTCAAAAGTAGCAGCAAGGCCTACGAAGGTCATGCAGATCCTGTGGGCTCTCACATCCCAAGATCGGTCTCCAAGAATGAAGGCTCCATGAGCGTAGGTGCTGCTGTATCTCTAGCACTTATACCCGAGGTGGTGCTCAGTGGGTGCCCCTTTAATATTTGTTGAGTTGGCTGTATCTACTCATTTCATACACCATGTAGCTATTATTAAATACCTATTCATCTTTGCAACCTAGTTCTGCCATTTTATTTTCATCTGGAACCCTCAAAGTCATAAAGTTTTACAGCCAAAAGAGACCTCTGAGATCATGTAAGGATAGAGGAGTCCTAAGCACTCTCATGTACTTAGGATTTCATGTAGCCCTTTTTCAAACTTGGGAACAAATTTCTGCTCCCTTGTGATAAATAGCTACTACTTGACCCTTTTGACTGTCGAGGTTTTAATGATATGAAGTGTTAGGAGCACTTATGGCTAAAAGAGGCAGAGGGGCCAGGAAGATGAGGTGGCTCATCCAATCACATCTTTAGCCAACCAAGGCATGTGAGTGGGTATTCCATCTCCAAACCATTGAAGAGCTGGGCTTCTTTGTAGTCAGCAAGACAAAGAAAAGCCTGGTGAGTCTAAACTGCTCGCTGTAGGTATAGAGTGGATGTAGCTAACCTGCTTCTACCCAAAGCAACTGACCAAAGGACCAAGGCCATCTTGAATCCTGAGAGAGCCCATGCTAGTAAGGTCTCATCAGAGTAGCAGGAAGCATCCTCCAAAAGGATACAGTAGAAATCAGGTAAGCTCAGTATGTTCAAGCAAGTCAAGAGTTTTAAGATTTGGGGCGGGCCAGATGTCTTTCAATGCATTATCCGAGCAAGGGAATCCAGGGACTATGCACTTGCTTCAGTTCTATCTGAGAAGCACTCGCGAACACAGCATCACTAAAGCAGTCTGCTCAGAAGAACTGGGAGGTTGGGAAACAAGACCTATTCCAGAGAGGAAACCAGACTCTCCCTAGAGGAGGAGCTTTGGGGTTCACTTGGGATCTGCAAGGATCATGGGATGCAGGAGCTGCCTGGGAATCAAGAAGTCCTCTTACTTCGTATGGTAAGGCCAGTGCCACGAAACTGGAACCCACAGGCCTCAGGCTGAATGAGTGTAACCCAGGTCAGTACTTTCTTATCCAGGGCTGCAGCTGTTTCATTGTACCAGTGACATCCACTAGTAACTTGCAGCATTTTCTGATCACAGGAGGTAATTCAAGGACAAATGTTATTCTAAAGCCCTCCGGTGGCTTGGAGCAAGTAAAGCGAATCAGGAGGGCTGTGTGTATCTGTAAAAACAGAAGCGTGGTCACTGTTTCTCCTCTCAGGGGAGAGGAGAATGTCAATGTTAGGTCATTTGAAGGAGTCAGGAACATGTAGGATACTTGTGCTTTTCAGTTGGGATTCAAATAAAAGTTAAAGAACTTCTTTATATCAAAAACTAAAAAAAAATACCATTTTCTGACAAATGAGAGAGGAAAGGTTAGAAACAGACAAGAAGCCTAAAATGACCCCACTTTCACTCATATGTCTTTGGAACATTTCACATTACTTCTCTAACCCTGCTGAAATGTCATTTATGTCTCTGAAAAATTTTCTTTTTTATTACTCAGTTCTAAAGTTTCAGAAAATCAGAACATTCAACATTTACCCTACCGGCTCCACATCAATATCTCTTCTTCCTCGCCCTGTGAAGCCTGCCTCATCTCTCAGAATCTCTCAGAATCCCCATGTTCTCCTTTCCTTCCCCACAGGACTCCTCTCCCATGGCTGCCATTTTCCTGCTCCACACGAGAGCCTGAGGACATACGATTTTGTCTGTCACTATCACCTGGATGTCAAAAATAATTGTCAGACTGGCCTTCAGTTATAGTGTAATTATCTTCCTTCTTGGCCTTAATGTTTTGTTTCTCTTTCAGACCCATAATGAGGAAAGGAATTGTATTTCATGTATCAATCAAATGACCTGCTAGAAGCAATCAACTTTGAAAGTTTAGACTTAAAGCCAGTTCCTATATATTACGTTTTTGTCCAAATATTAAATATCTCTTCACTGGGAACTTCATGTTTCCTTCTGAACAAGAACTTGATGGCCACAGTAGACTTTCTGAAAGCCATCTATAAACATACATCCATTGGCTTATGATAAATGAAAAATACAATCATGAGAAAAAGTAACCCTTAAAAGTGATTACCTTTTAAAAAAACTATACTGGCAATGGTCACAGGAGCTTTAAAAAAATCCCTCAAAACTTCTTAAATAAAAAGAGAAATTCTTTTTAAAAATCACCTTTCTTTCCCCTCTGTCTTACCCAATTCCTTCATTTCCTTCTCTTCCTCCCTTCTTCTCTCCCTCCCCTCTCCTCTTTTCTTCCTTGAAGAATTCTTTCTCAAAAAGTTTGCCAAACCCAAAGTGCAAGAACAGAGTTACATATTTGTTTAATTGACTTGGTTTATTTGGAAATCAATATGACTCAAAGTTTATGACTCACTTCCTACATTTATCAGATAAAATAGTTTCATTTTAATTTCCAACCTACATTTGTAAGAGTGATCCAAATATTTTTCACACCCCAATGTTATACTTTCCAACCATACTCTACCAAGAGACTAGTGTGTTTGACTTCAAATCATAATTTTGCAAGCATTTACTGAGAGCTCATGTTCTTATCATGGTGGTAAGTGCTTATTTACATTATCAAATTCAATCTTCACAGCCTTTGTGAAGTAGTAGTATCTCCATTTTAAAGATGAGAAAATTGAGGCAAAAAGTTAAATCTTTTACCAAAACCAAATGAATAGTTAGTGGCAGAACGAAGATTCTATCATAATTTTCCAGCTAACTTTCCCTACCCTCACTACACTTATAACAATAGATCAGGCCTTTCTTTTTCCACAACCTCATAAAAAAAGGCCAGAAGAAATTTAGAATCACTACAAC